TGTACCTGTTGAGGATAATCTCCGTTTTCTAATTGCGAATTGATGATTAGTTTCGCAGCACGGTGAAGCGGCACCGGATCTCTCTCAGCCTGTTAACACACACCAATAAAACAGTTTCCACTCTGTTACTTTTAAAAAAATGTTTGAGAAATGCTTGTAAACCTGTCCCGCTCGAATCAGACCCATCAATGCCCAAGAAGTTTGCACCAGGTGTGATCTTTCTCCTTCTAACGCTGTGTATCTCTGCACCAACAAAGATGATATAGGATTTTCGAGATTACGGACTTAAAAGTGTTCATTATAGAAGACATTACCTTTTCAGAGCAGGACATATAACTCTCTCCCCAACCTCCGTTCTTGTTCTGTTTCATGAGAAGGAAACGAACGCCTTCACGCATAGCCAAACAGTTGTCATAAGTTTTACCAGCTACTGCTAAGCCTTCAAGAGCAAACCATGTTGCATATGTGTAACAAACTCCCCAACTTCCATACCTGTCAACAGTTATTACCAATCAGAACATGCTCTGCCTTGAGATAAACATTCTTTAATGGACGTGTATAGTACCATGAACCATCTGCCTCTTGTGTGTTTTCTATGAATTGCACTGCTTTTTCAATGGTCCTATCAATCTCTTTGGTCCTGTGATCTGGATATAGTTGTTTGAACATGACCAATGCTTGGATAACCGATGACGTACATTCGACGTACTCATGCTCGATTACTAAATCTTCCATAAACTCTGAGGGGTTGAACAACTGGAATACAGAATTGAAAGGGTAATGAGCTTGGGTGAGTCTAATGGTAAAACTCAAATACTCTATATTTTCTTGTAATAACGTAAAACACGAGTTCTTACTTCTAACCATGCATATCCACGGACTGGTTCCCATGCAGTCATACCTCCATTTTTACTCTATAACAAAACAATGTTCACGAAAAATTTGATTTGATTATAAAAAAAAAGTGTCGTACGGTTATAGATTAGAATCTTACCTGATAAGATAGTAAGAGGTTTACAGAATCATGTAGTTGCTCAAGATCCATTTTTGGGCCAACAACATCAGGTGGCATCATGGAGAGCAGCAAACAACACTACAAAACCAAGGAG